GAGTGGACTTCAACTCCCAGAATTCCCCAGCCTGGGAGTTGAAGTCCACTCATCTTAAAGTGGCCAAGTTTGGACAACACTGATCTAGGCATATCACCTATAAATCAAGTGTTAAACAAGACATGAACATTTCAGATTTGAAAAAAGAACTCTATCCTTGTAAAGTATCATGAAGTCTGTGCCCAAGGAAAACATATCGCATCATGTTTTGATTAGTGGAAAAAACTGCCTTTTCAAAAATAGATAAATTACACATATCCTGATTCCAGTCCTGGATAACCAGACTAATAGTGCTTTTCCAGTTTCTCAAAATAATTCTCTTAGTACCCCCATCCTTCATGCTGTAGGACCCTGGCTGGTAGTAATTTTTTTGATTTTCTTGTTGTCTAGTCCAAACCCAGAGTGGAATTAATTGAAATGTGCAATTGTGGCGAACTGTTATCCCATCTCTGATCTAAGCCAACTTTTGCTTCGAGGGCAGGATTGGCAGGGAGTAGGGGTGTGTAATAATTGTCTTTTTTTGCTGTTGCTAACTGTGTACGATTTCATTGTTTTCCAGTTCAACTATATGGGTGGAAACCCTGATTACGTAACTCAGAACATCGTGCAGGTTATCGGCTTTGTTAATAGTGTAAGTTACTGACACGTTCTGGTTTTCTCTCAAATTAACTCGGCTGCTTTTTATTCTTAGTTCTAGGTGCTTTGCTGTGGGAATATTGGCTCAATCCAGTTTAGCCAGGAGAAGATCGGAACCTGTTTTTAAGGAACCAGAGTTCCAGGTTGTGGGGCATCCCCTGAATGAAAAAAATGTCTGACTGTTTTCTTCTTGTCTTTTCAGATGTTTGCTGACATTAATGTAACAATTGTACTTTCCTCTTTGGAGTTCTGGACAGACTATAATAAAATCTCTGTTGTAGGAGAACCTGATGAATTGCTCCAGAGGTTTTTACAATGGACAAATTCATACCTTGTTCTGCGACCGCATGATCTGGCCTTTTTGTTTGCGTAAGTGGGAAGAGATTAAACACCCATCCTCTTTCATCTTGAGATATCTTAGAGATTAAAGCAGTGTTTCTCCACCTTGGCCACTTTAAGATGGGTGGACTTCAACTCCCCGAATCCCCCAGCCAGCCATCTGGGGGCTGGGTGGACTTCAACTCAGGGTGGAGTTGAAGTCCACCCATCTTAAAGTGGCCAAGGTGGAGAAACACTGTATTGAGGTGTTCAAGATGTTTTGAAAAAATAGATACCTGCAAATACATACAGCAATCAGCTTTTGAAATGTTTCCTTTTAAAAAAGAACATCCAGGTTTACAAAACAGAATAGCTGCATGCATAGAACATGCTACGTCCAGACCAATACATCATATTGTGGTTTAACAGGAAGGCCTAGTTCCCATAACATACGAAAAACGTCGCTGGGTTTCCCAAAACAGATTGAATGACAGTACCCAGCCTAGTTTAATGAACCTAGCCTAAGGTTGCTCAAATCCAGCCGGTTTCTCTGCATGTCTTGATGTCTCTGCAACTGTCCTCCACTTTTCCTTTAGTTTTTAAATGACTTTTAAAACAATACATTACACTGTTTAGTAAATTAAATCAAATCAAGCGTAGCGGGAGAAGGGTCTTCATGGTTTCCATCCGAATAACTTGCCCAGAAATTAAAACTGCAGTAGATCTGAGCCTGAATGGACAAAACGTAAATCTGGTTTAAAAAGGTACTTTTCAAAGTCACCTTGGTATTCCTGAAAGCAGCTACATCTTTTTTCTAGGTCAAACCCTCTTTCTCACCTATTGTATACACAATCCTGTTATTTTAATATTCACGATCCCATGCATGGAATTCATTCATTCATTCATTTATTTATTTATTGGATTTCTCCCCCGCCCATCTCCCCCACAATAGGGGACTCTGGGTGGCTTACAAAGACATTAAAACTGTAAATATATATAAAATACATACTATATATAAGATTAAAACAATACTAAAATCTTGCTCCTTTCCGAAAAAGCCTTGGGTCTCCCCTCCGTGGACAGCGTGTCCTAAGTGCCACGTTTAAAGGCTCTTCTGGATGTTTGGGGACACGGGCTGCTTTGCTTTATAGGGTCCGCGTCTAGCAGACCTTCCCTGTGCAGATTAAGCTGGAACTTCTGTGCAAATAGCTCCCTGTCTTTTTTTCCTCCCTAAAAGGGTTTGTTAGCCTAGCTTGACAAACGAGGCCCAAACATAACCCTTCCCTGGACGGATACGTATTTGTGTCACTGTCAGTACCTTAAGTGTGCAACCTGGTACAAAAAGTCAGGCTTGTGATCTGAGGATAGGGAGGCCTTGGGGCTTTCCCAAAAGAGATTAACCCCTTCTCTCTCCTTGTGCTCTAGTTACAGAGAGAAGCCAAATTATGTGGGAGCAGCTTTTACAGGGAAATTGTGCCTCCGAAACTTTGATGCGGGAGTCGCTCTGGTACTGTATCACAGGTTTCTTTCTGTCATTAATATTTTGATCTTGGGTTGGCTTGGATTTAGGTGTAGATTCTGGATAATAAGAGATACCAGATTTAAACACTAGCAAAGAATATAAACAAGAGTTCCCCCTGAACTCATCCTTGTACAGGTAGTCCTCGGCTTATGTCCATTCATTCAGCAACTGTTCAAAGTTACGGCGATGCTGAAAAAATGGGACGTACAAGTTCTGGCCATCGCAGCACCCTGTGGTCATGTGATTGCAATCCGGGTGCTCAGGTGCCCACCTCATGATTACAATGTCACAGGGAGCTGCGGTCACGTGATTGCCATTGGTATTTCCCTGATGGCTTCCCACAAGCAAACTCATTGGGAAGCTGGCAGGGAAAGTTGCAAGTTGCTCCAGGAAGTCACAACTGCTTTTTCTCCCGCCTGCAGCACTATGCCACCAGTGCTCAGCCTCCACTGGCCCTCCCAGGTCCTCCCCCAGCCTCCCCCACCCGCCCGCGGCACCCGCGCACTCCTTACCTGGGACTCCTGCCTCTTCCCGCTTAACAACCCACACAGTCCTGGGGTTACGACTGCCATCACTAAGCAATGCGGTCACATGATGTCGCGCTTTACAACCACATCGCTCAGCGACAGCAATTCCGGTCCCAATTGCTGTTGCAGCCTGAGTGCTACCTGTAAGGAAAAATGGAAAGAACCTTGGGTGGCCTCAAGGATGATTGAAGATTCCTGCTTAAACTGTCAGGCTAGTGTCCAGGTTCCTTGTCGACCAGAATTTTTGTAAGAGATGCTTTAATAGTGCAGCGAAAAGGAATGCTGGTATGTTGCTGTGAAGGAATGTAGATCTGATCTTGGGAACATGGAAGGAACACAAAAGCCATTAAGGTGGGACTCTCAGAAAAAAACCGTTCAATAGAAGGGAATTTCTGTAGTTCAGGGATGAACTATGGAGTCCTTGGTGCTCTCTGAGCTTGGTTGTTTCCTTGCGGACATTTCATTACCCAACTAGGCAACATCATCAGTGCTATCAGCTCCACAAAAATTGTTCAGTTCTGAGAAAGAAGAATGTGTGAGAAAGTAATTCAAAATAACCGCCCTCCCCTTGATTCTGATGAGCATAAGATGGGACAAAGAGAAATTTGGACCGGTTTTCAAGTTCCGTTATACGCCCTTACTACAGTACAAGAGCATTCCTGGAATCTCTTCTGTGCCTGTTCCTTGATCTTGCCTACTTTGAACATCAATCTTGAAAGCCTGTCCAAGTTTCTCCCAACTTATACTAAAATCAAGGCCCTTTTTTTTTTCTTTTTACTTTCTTTCCCATGCACCCTTCTTTCTCAAGATGGAGAAATCTTTTCTCAAAATCCCCCCTTTAACATCTCGCTCCTTCTTTTCCTACTTCCAAGGTCAGCTCTACGTTCCTTCACAGTTGCCATACAGAGCACCAATAGCCAGTATTATCTTTATTTTGAAGGATGTCTCTTGCTCAAATGGGTCTTGCAGGGATTTTTAGAAGATAAAAATATCCGGTCACTTTCCTGCTTTGTTTGGAAATGTGCCCACGAATTCCTCCCAGTGATGGAGGTAAAGTTGGAAGCATCTGTGGGGAAGGGGGTGTCAGGAAATCAAGATGGTAGCCAAAGATGGGTGGTGGAAGCCATCATTACTAGTTTGGCCTTCTGGTAGATAGGGATTTTATTATTGGCCAAACTAACCAGGGTGGCCATTTTGTGAGAGCAACCACAATGTGTTCTCCCAATTCCAGCTGTGCCTTCCATCTCAAAAGGTTGATGGACCTCTTTCTATCTGGGATGAACTGCTTCGATGGTTCAACAGACTTTGCTGTTCTGTGTTAGGTTGCTGGCAATGAAATATCACAACGCCCATTCTGCCTGGTCAGTTGCTCCTGTTTTTCATCACCACCTTAACAATTAAGGTCAGATCAACATGGGGTTCCTTGATGTTGCTGGACTACAGGTCTCATCACCTCCAGTGAATAGCTTGTGATTATGAATAATAGAAGTTATAGTCCAACAGCATCAGCAATCTCAGCTGGCATCCAAAGCCAATTCCAAGAGAGGGGAAAAACTGACATGTCACACTTTCAACACAATGGTCCTACCAAGCTGTAGGACGAATCAGTTGATTAAAAAGGCAGAAATGATTCAGGAGACCAGCAACCTAAATCAGTATCGAATATGACTTTCAGGTCTACAAAACCAACCAAAATGTGCTGTCAGACTCATTTACATTTCGCTGTTCTCCTCGACAAGGTGCAAACTTGGATTCCTTTGTTGAGTTTCTCTTCTTTCTTCTAGTATGAAAAGGCAGTAACTTCGGAGACGTTTTCTGTCATTCTGGCCCAGCTGCTGGGTTTCAACCTGGGGATGGAATATGAAGACGGCAAAGAGTGCAAATGCCCAGGACACATCTGTATAATGCACACAGATGCAGTGCAAGTATTGTTATTCTTCATTTCTGTCCTCTGTAGCTGGAACAGAGTGGAGAGGCCACATGACAAATATTGCTCGGTTGGCTTTTGCTGGCTGAGAGGGAGGGGGCTTACATGTCACTGTGCTGTGTGTATGTTGGGTGTAGAGACCGGTGGGTCACAGGCTGTTCACCTGCCCAGTTCAGATGCTCGAAGGTTAGGATGGAGACTGGTGGGCATAAATTTAGCAATGTTTTCAATAACCCAGCTCCCTGGTCTCAGCCTCTGTATCCAGTCAGCAGAACTTCAGAGGCCCCGCTTTCCGGCTGCTGCTTCTAAATGCAAGGCTGGTCTGTAACAAGGCTTCTTTCATCTGCAATCTAATTACTGATGAGAAGGCCGATCCGGTGTGTATTACCAAGACCTGGCTGGGTCCGGAAGGTGGGAGTGGCCCTTTTGGAGATAGGCCCAGCTGAGTTCCGGGTATGGCATCAGCTGAGACTCTGGGCCAGGGGTGGAGGTGTGGTGATTGTCATCTGGGAATCCCTTACGGCTTTCAGGGGTGCTGCTCCACAGGTCACCAGATATGAGACCCTGTTCTTTAAGCTCTAGGGTCAATTGGGATTGTTGCTGTTGTACCAGCCTCCCTGCTGCATAGCAACCTCCCTGCCTGAGCTCCTTGGCTCTGTTTCTGGTTTGGCAATGGAGTTCCCCAGACCCATGGTCTTGGGGGACTCAATCTGCCTTCTCTGGGTCTGAGATGGCTTGGGAGTTCATGGCCACCATGACAGCCATGGGCCTATCCCAGATCATACAGAGCCAGACACGGGACAATGTCACACACCTGATCTGGTGTCAAGTTCCCTCTTAGGTGGTTCTCCTCAACTATGGGAAATCTCTGCACATCTGTTGATAAAGTAACACAGTGATGGGGATCAATAGGCAGCGGTTTTGCACTCTTTAATTTTTCTTCAGTTGCGTAACCAAGTGCACATCAGTTTGTGATGTGATGTATATTTGTGATACGTATATTGGAAGGAGAGCTGGATAGGTGATAATATCATACATATTCTTTTGTTTTTTTCCCCCAGTAATTCAAATGGAATTAAGAAATTCAGCAGCTGCAGCATTGCAGACTTCCAAAATTTTATTAAGTTCAGAAGCGCCCCTTGCCTTTCTAATCGGCCAAATTTAAAATTATACACTAAGAAGAGGATGGCAAATGGCAAACCGGCTTGTGGGAATGGTATTTTGGAACCTGGAGAGAAATGCGATTGCGGCACCCCTGAGGTGGGTATCTGAGAAACGTTTTCATATGTGTTTATTTAAATACGTACGTTGTCCTCTTCCAGGGGTTCAGGATGGATTGTCACAATGGAGCATAAAATGATTAATGTAGGATAATTTTCACCTATACCTAGCTAGAGATGCTTTGAGAAATCTCCGTGAAATTTGTGCTCATCCCCCAACTTCTCCTTTCATGCTCCTCAGCTTCGGAATTTTAAATTTGCAAGCTAGAGTTTCCTTAAGCATGCATTTAGATTAAAAAAAGAAAACCTAATATAAGGATCAACTCCATAGTTACTTGAATGCCAGAGTTACAATAAGTCAACAAGAGATCATAGATGTGAAGACCAATATAATAGCCACTATTTAAAGCTGCTGTGCAAGAATCAGCAGCAGTACCAAAAGCTTGGAAACTGAAGAAAATCTGCCCAGGAGCCCATTTTGTCTCTGAGACATTGCAGTGATCATATTGCCCAATACAACTGCAGTTTAACGTGTGTACGATCACTCAGCGCAATGGAATATCTTCTGTCTTCCCCATGTGTGGACAGGTCAGATCCCCAGGTTTATTTACACTTCTCTTTCTTAAGCCAGTAAGCCCCTTTTCCATTTCTTCTCCTTGGACCCACCTTTTTCCTTTGAATATTTTTCACTCGCATGAGAAGAATCCACGATGATGAATAGATGAAGTAAATGTGTGGCCCATGGTTCCTTTGCAGCTGGTCTTCCTGCTTACTTACCTTGCAACAAGAGTTGGAACTACTTGTTTGCACAAGAACCAGTTCCTCCATACTTCCTACTTGCTATCTGCCCATTTCTTCTCTTGTTGTCTCCTCCTTCTCCTTCTCCTTCTCCTTCTCCTTCTCCTTCTCCTTCTCCTTCTCCTTCTCCTTCTTCTCCTTCTCCTTCTCCTTCTCCTCCTCCTCCTCCTTCCTTGAAAACTATTAAAGTTGCAGCTATCTTCTTTATCAGAGAGTGAAATGCCTTAACAGTGCATCAATTACCCCAAAGAACTGCCATAAAATCAACATTGTGGGGGCGGGGGACAGGATTTTGAGAAAAAATAACTCTAGGAGTGAAATGTGGAAGTGTGTCAGGCCTGGTGAGTGAGCTCAATGTCACAGGGATGAAAAAATGCTCATGCAGGTTGGTTCTTTCCAACATTTTGGGACATTTGTTGTGTGGCCACAAGATAGAGGAACTTTTCTGCTTAGTGAAGACCCTCTAAGGATGCTGCCCTAATCAAAAGCTGTTAAGTTTCCTCTCAGCGTCTCTTTTGGCAGAAATTGAAGATGCTTTTATTTTGGTGGACTTTTGTACCACCCAGTTTTAGAGTAGCAGTTTGAGGAACTTAATTCTGATAAAACACTACATTATGCTTTTGATTTATTGCTGGGCATTTACATACTGCCCTTCAGAAAAGAGGTTTCAAGAACTTTGAGCTCATGCATTAAAATTAAAATGCATGAGGATAAGCATGTTTAAGCTTATCCTCATGCATTTGGCTGAAATATTAGCTACAGCACAAGGAAGCTCAGAGAACCCCAAGGACTCCACAGTTCAATCCTGAGCTACAGAGTTTTTCTTCTATTAGTACAAGGAAGACATGATCTTACCTGTCTCATTTTATCCAGGCTGCAGAAAGATTGTGTTGAAAGGAACATTTAATTATTACTAAGGGTCTCCAGAGACATGAAGGATGGGGGGCCTTCAATGTGTTTACATTAGAATCAACATCTAATCTAGTTTCTCTTGCAACCACTGTACAGCCTGATACTATGTCCAAGTTCCTTAATCATCTGAGCATTTCACAGTCCGCTACAAATAGCCTCATGATTGTGTTTTCAGCAATGTAAAAGTAATAAATGTTGCACCAGCACGTGTACGTTTCAGCGTGGAGCCGTGTGCAGTAATGATTTATGCTGCGAAAACTGCAAGGTAAGGCATCGTAAGGTCTGAAGTGGGGGAGGTGGGAAGCTGCAGGGTTTAGGCCCGACAGAACCATTGGGTGAATGCCAAGTAGATGCCTCCCAGTCTTAAGGACTGGAGGAGAACAGCCAAGTATCCAGTGACTCAAAAATGTGGGAGTAAGAGGCCTAAAATTTAAACTGGAGATACAGTATATGGGGCTGCCCTTAAAGATCACCTGGAAATGTCAGCTGTACAAAACGTAGCTGCTTATATGCTTATAGGCCAGGCATGTGATGTTCACATGACTTCTATTATTATTAAATTTGTATGCCGCCCATCCCCCCCCAACGGGTGACTCTAGCAGATAACACTGCTATTGAAGCTGCATTGGGTTCCAGTTCGCTTTTGAATACAGCTGAAGGTGTTAGCTATTATAAAACCTATCTGGCTTGGGACCTGGTATCTTCAAGACAATCATTCTGAGTAGGACTTGCCTGTGCAGCACGTGTAGGCAGCGAGTGCCTGCTAAGACTCCCCACATAACTGGGTTTTCAACAAGAAAGGGCTCGAAAGTGGTTATTTTCTAAGGGGGCTCTCCTAAGGAACAACTCATCCCAGAAGTAAAAGGAACTCCCTTTTCTTATGGTATATACAGTAGTGGCTTGTGAATTCCAGAAGGCCTTTGGGGACCACAGATAATGTGGCACTATAAATGTATATTGATGGAGGATATGACTGTAATGGTGCCACGTTACTCTTATTACTATAATGTTGTTTTATTTTGTTGACTTCTGCCCTGTATGTCATCGGACTGTAATTTGCCTAGAGCCGCCTGCAGCTGAAGAACTGTAAAGCCTCATCAAACAAATTAAAATATCCCCGGGGCTCAATTTCTGTGTTCTGCAGTAGACAGCTCTTCTACGCACATATAGCTTCTGTCTTAATCTGCAGTAAAACAACTTATTTAGCTCTGACAGGTCTATGAGTTTCTGCTGTAATCAAGTTTCTGAGTTCGGGAAGTGATGTCCAGAGAATTGAGATTTACTGCTGTGCTTGGTGAAGACTGACTGGACTTCAGGCCTGGAATAATTTAGATGCCCTCTGAAGGCTTCCCTTCAGGACCACCTTGGATGTATCTTCATCTCAGTTTGTCAGGAATGCCTGGCCTTAGCCCTGGAAGTTCCCCTTCTAACCATGGTTAACTGATGGCTCAATTTGCACCGCACCAGAATAATTGAATTGGGGCAATGGGAAAAGTGTGAAAACATGGCTATGCCAGATGGCCTGGGGGGGCCTGATGGGGGCTCACCTTGTTGAAATTGACTGGTGGGATAATCAATGCTGCTCCCCCCATCATCTTCAATTGTGTATAGTCTTTTTCTATAGAATTATTTTTAGCTAATTTTAATGTGGATGTTTACTGCTTTTACTGTTTCGGATTCTAATTGAGAGTCCGCCCAGAGTCACCCTCTGAGGGAGATGGGTGGCATATAAATTAAATAAATGAATGAATGAATGCCAACCCAAGGAAGTCCTTGGAATGATGGTTCTGAGGACTTTCAACATCACCAACTGTTATCACAAGGTCTAAATGCTGATTGTGTCCCAGGGAAGTGGCATGTTTTAGGAATTTCAGTAATGACATTAGCTTTTGCTTGTGACCCTGTTGTAATAAACAGGATGGGGAAACATTCTGAGGGAGTGCACTCAACATTTGTTTGAGAAGTGAGGCTCTTAGCTGGTGCATCATGATGGAAAGTGGGTAAGATCATCTGACTCACGATAACAAGACCAATCTTCTCGGCTTGTGGGTGGGTGGGGTTTTTTTGCTTTGGTTTTTAATGCTTCTTCCATTTAGACCACATGTATTTCCCCTCTCAAAATAGTACATAACCACAATGCCACTCACAATGACTGGAAAGGATCCTACACTCCCATATAATATTTGAGAACCCAATGGGCCCCTTGAGCATCAGCGTGACCCTTCCTACTATAAAGAATGTTCCTTGTCCATTTTATTCTTTATCTTCTTGCCTAGTTTAAACCAAGAAACACAATATGTAGACAAGCAAAGGACAAGAACTGTGATTTTCCTGAGTACTGCAACGGGAGTTCAGCTTCCTGCCCGGTCAATGTTTATGTTCAGAATGGCTTCAGTTGTGCTTCGGACACCGGCTTCTGTTATGATGGATCCTGTCAGTCAGCTGACCTGCACTGCCAGGAGCTCTTTGGAATACGTATGTTGAACCAACTATTTTTGGGTCTTTTCTGTCCCCTTAAAGCAAGGAAGACTTTTCTTGACCGTGGGTTAACACCGTATCAACCAACACTTTTGTGTCCAGAAGGGTGCATTCTTGGCCCTTTATATCACGAGCTTTGAATCAGATTCACCCAAAACTATGGATACCAGCGTGCCTCAGGGAGAAAGAATGACTCTAATGTCCATTTCAGTTTATAGTACGGAACGAAACGGAGCTCAGATCCCTCACATTCTTTACAACCTTGTCTGTACTTTTCAGAAAAGGCAGAGAAATCATTTTTATTGCAAACTATTTTGAGAGGCAGTGATACGGGAAGCAGTATAGAACTACATTAAATGAATAAAGTCGGTAAATGATTCATAATGACTTCTGGTTGGAATGCAGCTCCTCCTCACCCCTCAGAATAGAAGTCTCTCCTCCTCCTTTTCCTTTCAAAATAGATTAGCATTTTTGAAGGGGCTGCCATGCTTCCCTGCCATCTACCCCCTCCATAGTCTCTGCAGAAGCCACTCATAATGACATCTGTGTAATGATTCCTTTTTCGCAAAGTGGTTTGCAACCGATAATAATTTTCTTCTGCCCTCATCTTTTTCCTCTTTTCCCTTCTCTCTCCTGCCCTTCAAAACAACTGTGAGGTTCACCAGAAAAAGTCCAGTCAGTATTTTTGTCCCAACACAAACACACTCTCCCCGTCCAACAGGCCTCCCACCCCCAACAGCTCACATGATGGGAGTGAATGCAAACCGATTAAAAAACCCAAAGAAACCCAAAATCTCATGCTCGCATATAAGTTAAAACATTGCCAGGAAAAAGGTCACCCATGGCATTTTTGCTCTTTTCTCCACACTCTGCCAAAACGTCTAGGGTCAAGAAATGCTCCGCAAGTGTGTTACGAAGAAGTGAATAGCCAGACCGATAGATTTGGACACTGCGGCCTTGATGGAAAAAAGAAATTTAAGACTTGCTCTTTTCGGTAGGTGATTAGAAAATAAAGAATAAATGGAAATGGATTGTTTTGGGGAGAAGTGGTATTGGATGGAATGGGCTTTGATCTATGATGTGATGTTTTTGGACCAGGTTGTAGTAGAGTGTGCTGGATAAGTGAAAGATTCTGTTTGAAGCTGCAGCTGTGTAGGGGCAGAAGGGAGCAGCGCTAACTGTATAGAACGAAGTTAGGGAGAATTGTTGTGTCACCATAAGTCACCCCATAGAGAAGCATCTCCTGGGGGAGTTCAGAACAATCAAGATGGCTGCAACTGCATAATGGAAGCCACGGTCTTAACTTTCTTGACCTCCCTCCCGGGTGCAGCCTTGCTGCCAAGGCTATCAAGAAACCTTCCACGTATCCAGACAGGAGGAGGAAAAATGAGAACTGAAACCCTGGAAGATAGACCTACATAAGAAGGCCTTGATTTCTAGGGACTGCACTAGACAAATCTCTGTAGAGGGGACTTCATTCTTGGCTGCAGTCACAAGACAAGCAAGAGACAGTCTCTGAGTCTTCTTCCAAGTAACCCAAGGCTTGCATAAGGGATTAAATTGGGAGAGGCAAAGTTTAAAGCCAGGCCTAGAATGAACAGAGGCATCTGTTACAAAGAGAGATGATGAAAGAAAAAATGACCCAACATGCCTTGGGATGTCACAACTCAAACCCTGCCCATGTGTGTGTTTGTCACATTTATATAGCTGCCCATCTCTCACAACGTGACTCTGGGCAGTGATTTTATACATGGGCCCTGACCTTGGGCACAAGTGCATAAGTGGTGGGGTTTTCATTGTGGTATTACAAGGCATGTTTTCTCATTTGCTCCTCTGGGGATACTCATGGATGCTTTGTCAGGAAATCGAGAGCAGAACAGGGCTAGTCTGATGGGCAGAGATTGTAGATTTTAATGCACACTGTATGATCTCTTTTCTCTTCTCTTCTCTTCTCTTCTCTTCTCTTCTCTTCTCTTCTCTTCTCTTCTCTTCTCTTCTCTTCTCTTCTCTTCTCTTCAATAGGGATATCAGATGTGGAAAGTTACTTTGCATGTATCCCTACGAAACTCCTTTTACTAAAATAAATGTTCCCGTCTTGTATACCCCGGTGAAGGACGCTGTCTGTGTGTCTTTGGACCTTAAACAGCCAGAAGGCACACCAGACCCTATGATGGTGAAGGAGGGTACAAAATGTGGACTTGGTAAGGTAAGGAAAACGACCTGGAACAGGATGATGACAGCGATGCTATCAGTAATACTAGTTCTGTAGTGGGCAACATAACATTTTGGCAGTGGAGATATCTGGAGAAAGGCAGATTATATTCAAAATAGCAACAACAGCAACAATAATACCACCTTTCTTAGGATCTGGGATCTCAGGTGTCGGTCTTCCACCAAGGGTTGGTCCTGAATTCTTCACAATAGGGGTGCCTCTGGGCTTAGGCGAGCTACAAATCTATCCAGTGGAGTAACAGTACCATAAAAGAAGCCTAGAAAATAGAGCTTTTTTACTGGTAGTGAAAGACTGTGATGACATGGATGGACAGCCTGAGATGGGAAAGCTGGTGTAGCATGGTGGTTAAGGAACTAGAGAGATCCAGTTTTAAATCTATGTTCAGCCATGGAAGTTTTCATAATGAGTTTGGATCAGTCACCATCTCTCAGCTCTACCTCACAGTGTTATGGTGGAGAAAAATTAGGAGAGAGAGGGCTTTATACAATGCCTTGAGCTCCTGGAGGAAAAGCAGCACATCAGTCTAATGAACCAATTAATGAAGCCTTTTGAAAAGCATTTATTGTTTTGAAAACTGAAAAAAATACTGTTCTTTGTAGGTTTGCATCAGACAAATATGTGAAAATTATGACATTCTCAAGTATGATTGTGATCCTCTGAAAAAATGCTCAGGGCATGGTGTAAGTAAAATAAATAATAGACTTTCCGTGAAGCTTTTTTTAAAATAAGGAAACATCTTTCTTGGGCCAAAAGAGGAGAGGAAGAGGCTTGATCGTGATAAAGTGGATTTGCGATGCACATAAAGAAAGCTGTAGTGCTTTGATTGCCCAATGGCAGTTACAACCTTGACCTTTTTGACCCCTACCTCTCTGAATGCCCCTGCAGGTGGGGTACCTGATGTTTTAAATGGATGCCCTACACCAGTCTTCCCCAATCAGTTGTCTTTGAGATGTAGACATAGCTCAATATGCAAGCTGGCTTCTTTGCAGGATGAAGACATTATCTGGACCATGGCAAAATCTATACGTAATTAAAATCAAAATATATCAATGAATAGAGTGAATGAGATCACCCCCAGGTAATCATTCCCCTGCCATCATTAGCCTTGTCCTTTGATGACAACAGTTGGAGAAACCCTTGGGTGTAATCCTGAGACTTTAGCTTGTGTGCCTGTGACCTTGGGCACCACTTGCAGGAAGCGTCCTTCCATTCTGAAGGGACCTCAAGATTTAAATCCATCAGAATTGTCTCTGGTTGGCTTTTCAGGTGTGCAACAACAAAAGAAATTGCCACTGTAACCCAGGATGGGCTCCTCCAGACTGCAGAAAAAAAGGGAATCCACTGGGAGGGAGTCTTGATAGCGGATTTCGACATCTGGAATCAGGTCAGTCAGTTGTATCTTGCAGGGACATCTACCTGAGGTGAGTGGAGGTGGTGGTGGGGTCAAAAAGTCAAAATGGCAGCCATGATTTTTTTTTTAATTTGAAAGTTTTAACAACCATAGTAAGAACTAAGGCATACTAAAGTAGAAGGAAAAAGAAGGAAGAGAAAGGGAATCAAAGAAAAAGCTAGAAGTGCACGAAAGAACTAAAAGAAAAGTAGAAAAGAGAAGATACAAAAGAAGATATAAAGAAGTGGCTTCCAATCTTCTTCATGGCAGTTATAAGTTATAGTTTAACCTTTCTCCCTAAGGTTACATCATGACTCTTTTTCTGTAGTCTATCCCAGTGATTCTCAACCTTGGAAGCTTGAAGTCCACACATCTTCAAGCTTCCAAGGTTGAGAAACACTGGTCTATCCTGTCTAATCCTCAAAACCATAAATCACAAGTTCCTTTTTTTTTGTTTTTTATGCAAAAAGTCCATAAGGGGTTTCCAGTCACTGATAAATGTAGATATTGTCTTTTCTCTAATCAAACAAGTCAATTTATCCATTTGAATGATCAAAGCCCCCCCCCCTTTTTTTGGTCTGTGTCACAAATTGTGCGTGCATTTCACTGTCGTCCATGGATGCCCTGGGTCAATACCGAGCCAACCCCAATCAGCTCCCCAATGGCTAATTTTAATTCTGTATTTTTCAGGCCAGGATCGCACTTTCACACCACCTCTAAAATGGCGGAGCTCGATTTTTGTTTTCATTTTAAATTGGCCGGATAATAATGATTTAATAGGAATTCTCAATATTGCCTCTTTTGTGTTTGGAGCGGGAACACGTTTTGGGTGGGGTGAAGACCCGTGTTTTGTTGGTCCCTTAGAAAAGACAGTTGGGGGTTGCATGTCAACGAGATGCAGAACGAAAAAAGCCCTTTGCTATTTATTTGGTATTCTCCCTCAGCGCAACCCACATTTCCACAACGTGGAACACATAGCCACGATGAGAGAAAAAGGATGACAAGCACATGATGATGTCACAATGCAAACCCTACCCTTTGGTACTCATATCCTGACATTGGACACAAGTTACGGGTTTGTATTGTGACATCACAATGCACCGTTCACCACTTGCCCCGACAGACACCTGTGATGATTTCTCCAGAAACCTGCCTATCTCAGTCTGGATCTGATTAAATTTCCATGCATTGGCATTTTTGCCCAATCTTTACAACTGGAGAAGCCCATCCAGGTTTAGACTTGTGTGAACTGTTTCTGTCTAGATATTGCAGAAAAGGCCATGGAAGACAAGATGCGGACATGGATCCTGCTCAGCATTTTTCTCTTCCTGCCCATTATTATTGGGAGCACCATTCTGGCTGTGAAGTGGAAGCGTATCAACAAGTATTGCTTGGAAGATGATGAACTGGAAGAAGATTCGGCGTAAGTTGCTTTGAAGAGGGGGAACTGCAGCCTTCTCAAGCGCCAATAGTTGGAATAAGTGAGGTTTGCAACAAAATGATCTAGCAGTGGCAGAGGCATCGGCAGGGAGGGTCAAAAAAGTCAAGATGGTGGCCGCCATGCACATAAAAAGAGTAAGGGCTTTGTGCAATTTTTCCCAATATGATGCAATTGATGTATTATTTTTACAAGTATTTATTTTCTTGTAAATCTACATTGCAACATTCAGAAAAATTGCACATTTTGAATAACGAACTTATTTTTGACCTATTATTCATCCTAAATAGACCAAAAAGGCAAAATTAGATAAGTTTGCATTGAAATCGTATCCCCCCACCCTCTTTAGTTGAATGAAACTGCATAACAAATCTGGCATACGTGTGTTTCTTAGTTATCACATTTTTTGTTTTGGCCAATATGTCTACTGGTTTGGGCTAAAACCCTAAGATTGATGACAAAAATAACATTTTAGCAGTCCAGCTTATGTTTAGAATTACAGAAGAATATGTCTGAGCATATATTCTATCCAAGAATTTATTTTCAGTCCCAGTACAGAAATTATCGTTCTTTCACCCCCAAACTTTCTCCTGCTCCCTTCCCTCCCATTCTAGGTGTCCCAATCTAATGTAGAAGAGTTTTTAATGCTTGCTACCATTGTTTTAAAAGTTGAAAGTTAGAAACTCCTGCTAATCCTCTGTATGTGATCCAGGGATTGACCTCCTTTCCCCCCCAACATCTGAACAGATTCATTTGATTTCATTGGACTTATTTAGTTAGAAGCCACCTCCGTCGCTTGGACAACTCTAGGCAAAATACAACAATCCAATAGGCGCATTTTACAAACAAAATCAGAAGAATCGATAAAACAGTGTTAACTCTACAAACGGTATACAACTCTTGTAAATCCTCTTAATGATGGTTGCTTTCTAGATCGTATTCTAGATCGGAAGAGAGTAGCACGACAGACAAAACAAGGTAAGCTTCTGGAAAGTTGGTGCAGGCAACCTCCTGCAATCTAGAGCCGCACTGTGCTTTTGGGAAAGACAAATCTGTTTTGTGAGGACAGAGGTTGAGAACTCCAGGAC